GGGGTCTGCTGCTGCTGCTATTGAGGAGATGCTGGCGATGGGTGGGATGGCGTCGCCGACGCCGACGCCGCCGCCATTGAAGGGTCGCTGGATTAGGGCGCGCAGTTCGGGAGTCACCCATCTGGAGGCGCCGAGGTAGGAGGTCGAGGAGGACGGATCGCTCATTCCTAGTCGTATCTCGGTGAAGGCTTGGAGGAGGAAGGCGGCGATGCCGATTACGATTATGGCCATGAAGACGCTGAATGTGTTTTGGAGGGTTTGGTTGGGGTTGAGCGAGGACGCGAGGACGTAGCGGGTTGGGGCTTTGTTCTTCTCTGTTGTTGGGGAGGGGTGGGGTTGTAAGGGCAGGGTGTGGACGACGACTGTTTGGCCGACGGAGACGGATGCTAACTTCACGTATTGGGGACGGGTGGGAGAGGGTATGGAGGCAGGCGAGGGCGGGATGAAGGTGGAGAAGGCGAGATTGGTGATGGATGCTGGGTGGATGTCGCGGATTATGGTGTAAGGTTTGAATTTGCCGAGCCCTTGTTTCGGCGAATATTCCATTGTGAGTAGTTCGATGGACCCATCTTGTCCCGCAACAGCTATCAGGATCTGGCGTTCCCCTGTTGATGGCGAGGTCGAGAGGAAGCAAACTTCCAGCCCAACTGCTGCCTTGGTGGATTTGTTGAGGCGTTTTTGTAGGGTCGAATTCCCCACGCTGCCAAGTCGGTCGAGTTTGAGGACAATCAAGTCTGCTCCAGCGCGTGAGGGCCGGTTGGCGAGGAGGAGGATGTGTCGTGGGGAGAGGAAGCGCAGGGAGCGCAGTTTGGGGCGAACTGGCGATTTGAAGGGATCAGGCGCCGGGATCGAGTAGACGGATATCGGGTCTGAGAGCGCGGAGGATTGGGAGAGAGATATGGCGTAGATGAAGACTTCGAGCGAGGTGCAGTAGGCTAGTACAGCGGTGTCGGCCTCCTCTCCTGACCAGATATCGAGACCTGCTGCTTCTTCTTTGTCGAGATTGATGCGGCCCAGGACTTCGGGGTTTGTGAGGGATGGATCAGAGCGGAAGACGACTACTTCCCCTTTAACAGCCAGACCGGTAGATATAGCAGCTACGGGACGTTGTGAGCTATTTCGTGATGGCGATATTCTGATGGTCCTTTGATATATGCCATCTTTCTCCCCTTGCGGTTTGGAAAATAGTGATGTGTGGCCCAGCGCCTCTGTCTTCCCGCTGTACGTGGTCGATTTCTCTGCTTCTCCATCTCCATCCACTTGTCTCCGTGGAGGATACTCCAGCCGGAAGGATCGTAGATGTTGATTCTTGCCAGCTTTCTGGTCTGCTTCTGAGCTGTTGATTCCGGCGAAGGCGGTGACTGAAGTGTCTGAGGACTGTGCTATGGCAAGAGATGTGACAGAATCTTCCTCGCGCGACAATTCGATCTCGACCACTTCGGAGACTTGTTCTCGACGAGATGTGTTGAGCAACGTCTGGCCACTCCGGTCAGTCGCGAGAGCTGGTCTGCAGGGGAGGACAGCCACACGATCTTGTTTCCCACACCACTTCTACCTTCTCCTCCACCTCCCCCGACCAACAGAAAGCCTGCATTCTTCGGGTCGAAGTCTGAAGCATACAAGGGATATGATAAGGTGAGTTTCGCAGAGGGTATTGGAGGAGCCATCTGGACGAGGTCCGGGCCCAAGAGCCTGAAGAGGAGCCTCAAGCTCAGACGTAGACGTGTTTTAGCCCACTTAGGACCGCCTTTAAAGACTCGGTTTATGGGATCCTCGTCAATGAAGCAGCGATACGGTAGTGATACAGTAGTAATGGTACAGCAGATCTATGTTAGACGTAGGATGCGACCGTAGATGATGCCAAGCTTTCCGGTTCAAGCAATTCAAGTTCATTGTCCACATACTATGTACTAGTATTATGGATGGGTGTGATGGTCTCAGAAAAGGAATCCGGGCGAGATGATTACCAAAAAGAGGTTCGTATCGCACGCAATGACAACTGAATTGGCGCCAGGACGATGGCCTTTCTACGTTGTGCTCATGCGGCGTCCTTTCTAAATTACACGTCTGGATCGGGGTGTATCTTCTCCAGCTCTCAGTCTACCTCTTGTCCTTCGAATTTTGGTAACCGCTTCGCAACATCCTCCCACGTCTCCTCTCCATCAACGATTGCCTTGGCAGCTGCACAGATCTCATCCTCGCTCGCTCTGACTTGCGATGTAGTATCCCGGTCTCGCAAAGTGACAGTGTTGTCCTTGACCGTTTGGAAGTCGACGGTGATGCCAAGTGGTGTCCCAAGTTCATCGTTTCTTGAATAACGCTTGCCAATACTAGCCGACGAATCATCGATCTTGCTAGAGATTCCCATCCGCCGAAGCTTGTATGTCAGCTGCTGCAAATACGGACGGAGGTCATCGGAACCGGACAGAGGTACCAAGAGGACCTTCGTAGGCGCGACAGGAGGCGGAAATGAGAGAACCTGCGCATGGTTAGTCCAAGTCAGACGTTCCTCATGGATACTCAGCTTACACCACGAGCGTCATCCTCTGGTCTTGACCAGTAAACATGCTCGATCAAGCTGTAGAGGATCCGGCCAATACCAAAGGATGGTTCGATAACGTTGGGTGTGTATTCTCGGACATGTTCAACTCGCGTTCTCTTCTCGATCTTCACGAGATCCTTTTCCAACTCAACTTTGCCATTCCCAACTGCTGGCACATCTAAAGTTATCCTTCCTTCCTTTTCCAGCTCTAGCGACATTTTCTCCCTCAGTTCCTGGCTAAGAGCCTCGACCGCTTGCTCGACCGCCTTTGCATCTTTCTTGAACTTGGGGCCGAACCTCTTTTTGTCGATGTCAACCTGATATTCCTCGATTTTAAGCGGTTCGGCTCGCGTTTCTCGTACAAAAAGAGATGCTCCAGTCTTGTTGCGATGTACTGTCAAATCGTATGCCGATCTATCAGCACAGCCAACACACTCTATCCAGCCCAAGCTCGTGCGTAGCTCGGCATCCCAGCAATCCGCGGCGTAGTGAGCCATCTCGTTAGCCATGTGCTGTCTGAAGCGCAACTTGCTGTAGTCAACGCCGAGTCGTAATAGAAACATCTGTATTCGTGCCAGAAAGTATCCGAGCGTCTCGTTGTCTACGAGCTTCGATGCGACTGCCTCACCGATCGTCAGCTCTTCTGCTTTGGTGCTGCCTTCTAACTGCACGTTCCGATTCAGCAATGTCATCTTTGTGTCTTTGACCTGGGCGAAGCGTGGATGCCTCTTCCCACTTTCGGGGTCCACAAAATGTTCAATCTCAGCCATCAGGAATTCTCGCACTCTCAGCAAACCAGATCGCGGCGAGATCTCATTCCGAAACGATTTGCCAACCGAGGCAGAAGCGAAGGGCATAGATTGTTGGTTAAACTCGAGTAATTTTTGGAAGTTGAGAAATTGACCCTGCGCCGTTTCTGGTCTGAGATATCCATTAGGTGTTGAAGCACTGGGACCAATGGTTAATTGGAACATGAGATTGAATGCGCGAGGAGGCTCCAGGTCTACTCCGGTTTCGGGGCTTTTGATGTCGAATTTCTTGATCAGTTGTCCAAGTTCCTCGCCGCCATAATTGTCGATCTTGGCCAGAGTTTCCTCGTATTCTTTCACGACAGCATCGTCCAACTGCACGGCTTGAACGTCCTTGACTTTCTTCTTTTTTCTCTTAGCATCTTTAGCTTGATCGATTTCCACCGTCTGGCCACGCGCTTCTTTGTCGCCCTTCAACCTTGCCTCCAGAACCTGCTCCACAAGATGATCCGCTCGGAAGATCTCGCCACTCTTAGGGTCTTTGCACATCCAATCCGCAAACTTGTCCACATGCCCACTTGTCTTGAATACTGCTGCAGGGGTAATTTGGGTACAGTCCACCTCTAGCATATCCTCCTCCAGGACGAAATGCTTCCTCCATATATCGACCAGATTGTTTTGTAAGGCACAGCCAGGAGGTCCATAGTCGAACAGACCTTTCTCCCCGCCGTAGATTTCGAAGGCAGGGGTGTAGAACAGGCGTCGACGCAGCAAGGACTCGAACGTGGCTCGATCTAGTGGCGCGCCTGTCTTTGTAGTACTCGTCGCCATGGTTGAATCTGTCTGCAAAGCTTGCGCTCTGAAATCGGGTGCTCTGGAAGTGAAGGCTCTATTCTGCTCGATCAACAAGGTAATAGCATTGAATCTCCGACAGAAGAATTGAGGACGCATACACGATATTAAGAGATGAGAGGGGGAGTCAAGATGACAAGGCTTGTGGGTCAATTGTCTATCATCAATGAGTCAACTGTAACCTCTTCGTGTGTCAACAATTAACCCCAAGCCACAGCATTGTAACTTTTAATTGCTGCGGCTCCGCTTGAGTCCGGGCACGGACACGAAGATCTCCCGCCCCAAGCATGGCGCGCTTGCTCCCTATCATGACCCCGGCAAGCCAAAAACCAGCCTACCACCTACTGCCCATCGCCTGATCTTTTTCTCCGCTCCGCCTCCAATTCTTATTCCAAGTCCAACTATGCCTTCGAAGCGACTGAAACTGTCGGACAAGGCATCGCTGCCTTTCAGGACCGACAACAAGCAGAGACGACAAGCTTTGCATGTGAAGAGAAAGCGTGCACTCGACGCACAGCGCCGTGATGAACGATTTGCGCGGAAAAAGCAAGAAGCAAAGGACCCTCGATTACGGGAGGATAGGTTGAAGCACAATGTCCCGCTGACCCTGGATAGAAAACGCGTCTGGGACGATGTTCAAGAGGATGTGGAGGATGGTTTGGGTCTCAGTGTTGATGTTGAGCGCATAAAACGACAACGGCTGGAAGAGGATGAGGCACTACCCGATGGAGAACTCGACGGCAAATCTGATGAAGAAGACAAAGATAGTATGCTCGACGAAGCGAGTGCAGACGAAGATGACGAGCCCATCGATGAGAATGAAGTCGTCAGTAATCCCCTACCAACCCCAAAGCAGATACGAACGGCCACACAAAGAGCAACCTCCCCCAACCGGTCTACAACATCCACCAACCTCAACCTCGCTCCTGAAGCTCTTGCGGCCAAGTTTCCCACCCTCTTCGGTACCGATCCGCCTCCAGATCCCAAAATCTTGATCACCACATCCCTCAACTCCACCCTGCACGATCAAGCTTCCATACTCACCACCCTCTTCCCCAATTCCCACTACATCCGCCGCACCTCCCATCGCTACGGCCACAAATTCTCCGTCCGCGAGATATCTTCGTTTGCCTCTCACCGCGGCTACACTGCTCTCTTGGTCCTAACTGAAGACCTAAAGCGCCCCTCCGGCCTCACGATTGTTCACTTGCCCAGCGGCCCAACCTTCCACTTCACCATCTCAAACTGGATCGAAGGAAGAAAGATGCCCGGCCACGGCAACCCGACCTCTCACACCCCCGAACTAATCCTCAACAATTTCCGCACCCCGCTGGGTCTTCTGACCGCTCACCTTTTCCGCACACTCTTCCCTCCTCAACCCGAACTCCGTGGTCGCCAGGTCGTGACCCTGCACAATCAAAGAGATTACATCTTCCTCCGCCGACATCGGTACGTGTTCAGAGAAAAGAAGGAGACGGAGAAGAGCGTCATCGGGCCGGATGGGAAGGAGGTCAAGGGAGTAGAAGGCATCCGGGCGGGATTGCAGGAGCTGGGTCCGAGGTTTACGTTGAAGTTGAGGCGGGTGGACAAGGGGATCCAGAGGGGGAGTGGGCAAGAATGGGAGTGGAAGGGGAAGATGGAGAAGACGAGGACGAAATTCCAGCTGTAGATGTCGATCATGGTATGAATACACCATAAATTTCGGATCTGTATGTGTTCAGTATCACAGAAATGCATGAAGTACAGGAATTCTTTCAACCACTCTGTGCTTGAGCAGAATGCAGAAATGATGGCCCGCTGGGAGTATCAATCAATACCAACAAGCAAAGTCTAATAACCTCTTCCCGACTCCTCGCTATGCCAAACCCGGTTCCCCTGACAGGAAATCCCATCTCAACGCACAGTTTTAGCGATCCTCTTCCCCTCCTCATCCAGCAGCTCCACCAACTTGCCCACCAGCCCCTCAATGACCTCCTTCTCCGCCACCACAACCTTGCCCAGCACGTAATCACTGACCTCCTTACTCGACCGGCCCACCGGCCTCCCAATCCCAATCCCCATCCTTACGAACCTTGCCTCCATATCCCCCTTGCCCATGCCCGCCCCGCGGAAACTGCTGATCACAGACTTCAACCCGTTATGCCCCTTCACACTGCCGCCCATCCCCCTCCTGACCTTCAGCGTGCCCGGCATCGCCTCTAGCTCATCATGCAGCACCACCAATCCCAGGCCGACTGTGTCCGTGGATGGAGCGCCCGCGTGATCTTTGACGAAAGCCCTCCAGGCGCTGAGGACGGCGGGCCCGCTGACGTTCATCAGGGCAGGGCTCTGCCAGAGGGTGATGTTGCCGGAGTGGGTGAGCTGGCCCCCGGCGTGGGGCTTGCTGCGCTGGAAGGGCGGGGCGGCCAGGTGGAGCGCCAGGCTGCGGAGGCGGATGTGGCCGG